TTATCTTTAACTTTTTTCTCGACATATTCTAATAACACACGAATTAACTTAACAATTGCTATTATTAATGAACCAAATGCAATTGTACCAAGATGAAATACAATTGCACGAAAGAAAGATACACCTAATGATGAACGTGGAATACCAAATCGTCTTTTATCCCAATAATAACGTGCATAAACACCAGCTAAAATTTTATATTAATTTTTATTTCAAAAAAAAAACAAAAAAAACTTACCGAGAACTAATTCACTTAAGCCAATTGTAAAAGCTGTTAACCAAAAAAACATAAAAACAGAAAATACTTGTGGAAGCCATTGATTTTGATTGACAAAACTAATAAAAGATTTAAAATGTTTACCAGTACCTTACATAGAATATAAAAAAAAGAAAAGATAATAATTTTTGATAATAATAAAATTAATCATACCATTAAGAATATTATCCAAATCAACTTGTGGATCATATCCATACTCCGAAAACATACATTCAACATTCATTCCAGCATTATTATTCCATTTTTTTGGATCACATATTTGACCGATTGTTAGATCCATTGAATCAGCATCTGATTGACTACCTGTTATTCGATAAATTGGTTTTCTTGCCGTTGCTAAATATATAGTGATAGCTACCCAATAAGCAAATATTCCAATATGTAATATCAACGGTATAAATGGCCAGAAAAGAATAAAAAAATTATATGCAACAGCTGTTGATGCTTCTTGAAGAATAGTTAATGCTATTCGAAGACGTTTAAATAAAACAAGAACAATAAGAACTGCTATGAGTAAAAGAATACCAGATAAAATTCCAATAATTAACCATGTTATTGATAAACTTCGATAATAATTAGCATCAGCAACAAATTTAAATTCTTTTATTATTTGATTATCATTCTTTTCACGAAGTTGAACAAATTCAAAAAATGCTAAACCAGTTATAACAGCTAATAGAACAATAAATCCTATTATACCGAGCCAAACAAGTGGTGTTGCCAACCAACGCATTAATACAATCCATAAAAACTAAAATATTTTTCAAGTTTTTTTTTCTTCGCCTTTTCATGTTCTTTTTTTTCATACCGATACAATTGCAGCTAAACCGAAAGCCACCAGTATATATTTCCACGATATTGCCAAGTCTTCAACAAGTATGACGGCTATTTGTTTTAAATTAAGTAAATCAACAAGATATTTAACACC